ACAATTGAACGTTATTAAACTCGGGTAGCAATCAAGTAACATTAACTTGTTCTCATCTTGTTTCATTTGGACGTTTGTGTTGCGTGAAATTCATTATGTTGCAGGTTTCGTCATGAAAATTATGCGCTGCCAAACGAAAAAGAAGTCAAGATGCAAACGTATAACGAAAAATTCGATTCTCGGTACTAGAGTTATCGTGAATAACGATAACTGATTCTTTGTCGCTGCACTTAACTATTTCTATCGTTTTCCTCAAACTTCAAATACCTATTAATATTACAAGTATATCTATTTCGTTTTAAATTCAACGAGGGAGAGAGAGAGAGAGAGAGAGAGAGAGAGAGAGAGAGTGTTGCATACATTAGTTGAACTGCAAAGAATAGACCTAGGCTGCGTTCGGGAATTTCACCAGAGTGCCCTAAGTAATAATGTCTTTCCATGTTCATCGTTCGTACGATTTAAAGAAAATAAAACGAAAGGAGATAAGACTATGCTCTCGGGTGCACTTGGCACTTGGTTTTCGCAAAACAAATGAAATCGGCGAATAGCCAAGTAGCCCGCGCGCGATAAGATGCTCGCGCTCGCATGTAAACAAACGGAGCTGTCAGTCGGATCGATGTAACGTAAGTAACAGCTGTGCGCCGCGCGGAGTCGCGAAATGGACAAAGAACAAAGGCGACGGGGAAGAGCGCGAGAGGAAGAGAGAAAGAGAGCGAGAGCGTTCGATGGAGCGAGGGACAATAATGAGATGACGTACCGTAGGAGAAGCGAGAGGGTTTTATTGTTGGCGCATTCGAGGATCTTCTTTTTCTCCCATCCCTCGACCGTCTTCACCCATTCCTCGCCTGGGCTGCGCCAGTCCTTGGATATGAACGGCATCCTGGCTTGACAGGCCTGACAGGCGACGACGACGACGACGACGACGACAATGACGACAAACTGGAGCGACACTCGCAGCTCGTTAACACCGAGACGGCGCAGGGCGCACCTCGCCGTGTCCGCGGACGCCGAATGTGTGATGTGCGTCCAGCAGTCCAGCGTTCCGACTCCCGCGTCCGTTCAGTCCGCTGCCTGCGACTCGCTCGCGCTTCGCCGCCGAGCCGAGCAAGCCGAGTACCGAGCGGCGAGCGCGCATGGCTTTGTTGTAGTGACGTCACCGCGCATCAGCTGTGAAGCCAGCGCGGCGCGGCGCGGTGCGGCGCGTCAGTGGCGACTCCGCATGCTTGACTTGAGACTGCACCATTCGCAGCTATTCGCCTGACTGCGGTCTCGCTTCCGGCTGGAATGAATTCGCGTCTGGATATTTCACCTGTCAACAAACTGATTTTCTATTTGTTCAGAAGTCGAAGAAAAATTCCAACTTCTGTTACTTGTATGTATCCACGTTTAGCGCGAACCATCAGATTCTTGGCTGCAAGAATAAAAGACACGATGCTCGACTCTGATAACTCGATAAATTTTTATTTCAGTTGTACAAACGTAATTGATGTCTAGTCTGTTTTGTGCTGAACGTACGAACGTATAAAGGATAAGAAATAATACACCCAGTGTGCGTGTGACTCAAGGCACACATGCATTCCGCATTCAAGTCATCACCTGTTATCAACAGCTGAGAGCTGTTGATGAAATACAGATCTCGAATCTCAAGTGGCAGCTGGCAGCACTCTCTGTTCTCGTATATACTGTATGTAGCAGAGCGTTGAATAAATCATGGATGGAGCCACATGGAGCGGCCGGCAATGTGATTACCTCACAAATTATTAAAGGGCGTTTGGAGTAGAGAGGAAGAGAGAGAGAGAGAGAGAGAGAGAGAGAAATCTGTCTAATGCATAAAAGTTGAAACCCAGATGTTCTTCGTTTCTATAATTAATTATATACATCAGGCACTCAATATACGAATTTCTCTCTCTCTCTCAAATCAACTCCACTTTTTCTGAACTTCTTAATTTTAACAGAGAATTAATTTATATCTCCGTCTTTGCATTTTACTTTATGGAAGAAAATTATGGAGTAACCAATTTGACTGAACTTATAAGAAATTCGTATATTGACCTAATGTTTGAATAAATTTATGTTCAAGCCTCTCTTTTTTCTTCGACGAATTAAGTAATTAAGCTAGCTTTGTTTTTCTGCGCGACAGAATTCGATTTCGGACACGTTTGAGATTTTCTTCCTCTGCCATGCCTGCCATGAGGAAACTTCGTCGACAAGAAGGCCTCGAGAATCTGTCCCTGATCTATCCACCACTGATCTCCAGGCATACACTGTACACATGACGTGGCGGGCGTGCGGAGCAGTGCGGAGTGTCACGGACGCTGACGGCTAACAAGTGGACGCGCACTGGTCGCCGACCAACTGACCGAGCAGTCTTAATCGCTCCGCGCCGCAAGCAAATTGTTCATCGGGCGCGCAACATGTACCTCGAGTTGCTCTGATTGTATACAGGGATATCGCCGTCAATGCCGTGTGGTGTGGCTCATCAGCCTGATTGAAGGTACCAATATATATACATGTATACGTAAACGCCACGCTGCACCGTCCCGCCCGATTGTACGGGTTTTCCGTCTCTTTCACGGTTTCGTAATTACGCATAAATGCAGTCGGGCTTGTTTATTACGTTGCGTATTGCTTGGCACGTGCTCTCACGCAACTCTCTCTCTCTCTCTCTCTCTCTCTCTCTCTCTCTCTCCCCTTCTATTTCTCATAATATTCTGTCCTTGTGCTGCCCGACAGGATATGGACCCAGGTATTTACCCGAATCACATTACGTTTCATTTTCGATGAAATTATACGATGAATTGGATAAATCTCGAGTTTTATCGTCGTAACAAAGCTTCTGGCACATTTGACGTCATTCCCGAACTATGTGAATATGCAGAAACATACTTTTCTTATCGACATTATCATTTTAATGTTTACATTAAAATTGTGCTAGACGCAGTCCACCTTAAAACATTTTTTAGATTTTATGCGACTCTCGTACTCTGCAATTTCGTAGCGAAATATAGGGAGATATCAGGAAAAATAGCGAATATAAGATGGAATTTATAAGCACATATGTTATATTGCATTCGTTTGTGTAAATTTTAATTGTCATGTTGGTCTCAAAGATAACGTGGAATATTTTTGTAATAAAATAAATAATGAAAGAAGGGATTTTATCTTTATATAAGTAGAAACACTATCATGTGAATTATCTCTACTTTATTTTTTTTTTTATCATGTTTTTCAATCAAAATTTGTATCGTAAAAATTCGTAGTTAGAAAGATAAATATCCTATATTTATATCTCATGATATGATGGTATTTATATTTTGACATTACTTTGCACAATCTTATCATTTGTTGCATTTTGACCTTTCTATGTTATAAATAAACTCACTATTTCTTAAGAATGTCATAGTCTAACATTTATAATCGCATTGACACCATTTGTCTGTTCAATCATTATTTATTGATTATTATTTTATTATCATATGTATAATTTTATTAATTAATGTATGATTGACCGAACGATTTTCTGACCATCCCGTATACTTTGTTAGAGAATGTAGGCAAGGAAACTATACTAAAAGTGACAGATTGGTTACGTGGAATTTGGGAAATGAGGCGACGTGCCGGTGGACCAGTTCAACAATGGATTGATTCCATACCATCGACCGCAAAGTCGGATATTGTCATTGCGAGCGAGTGTCGAGAACGTAGCCCGAGCCATAAAGATAAACCGTTAACACCAACCGAGCCTAAGGACATTCCATTTTCTAAGGACTTACAATCTCCAAGCATGACCGTATCAGCGCCTATTAACGTTCCTAAGTCTACAGCAATGAATACACCGATGTTACCAAGGTATTAAGCAAGTATTATTCATGATCAAGGAGTTGGTTACTGATTGAATCACGAATATCCGTTTGAATTTTTTAGTTCACTTCCTCATCAGAGACTGGCGCGAGATGCGAGTTTTCAGTCGGACAGCAGTCACTGTAGTAGCGTCGAGAGTTTATTAGAATTGCGAAAGGCAGATCCGGCAGCGATTCTGTTTGATCTTGGCTTCGGTGGCTCCACGGCCAGTCAGCAGGAAAACGGTACAATTTCTCGTATTCCTAGAAGGTTCCTACAGCCGTCGTCGTTAAGAGGCATCGCCGTAGACGAGTTTCTCAAGCAGCAACAGGAGACTACCGAATCTTTTGATTCAGTATCTTTAGGATATAGAGGCCTAACAGGTAAAATGAATTTTTCAGTAGCAATAATCGTAACGATTACACACTATGTTCAAGAAGAATCAATTTCTTTTGAAAATAGTGAACTCTGAAATTCATCATTCTACGTGTGAAAAACAATAAGAATTTTATAATTACTATATCTATGATTTGTATCTTTAGTAGTATTATCACCAAATGAATTAAGAACAATATTTTTATAACGTTGATTATCCAATTTATATTTCTGGATACAAAATGTATCCGCAAACATTTTGCCATATAGAATAATAATTTTGTAGGAAGCAATAGCGCATTATTCATTCCTACACGTGTCCGACAGCGCAGAAACTCTGGATCAAGTAATTTTGTAAGTCTCGCGTGAGAATCAGTGATCAAGACTGTTTTAATGTATCTTTTTTTAAAACCAGTTTAATTGATTTATCTAGAACTACATAGCTGTTCTCTTTTATTTATATTATTATTTTTTTGATAATTTTTATTTTAGTAAGCATTTTCACATTACAGCTTCTTGTTTTTGCTTATTTATGCGTCAGTCGACATACAATGTTTATACTATTTTTATGTAGAAGTTTATTATTATTTTTGTATTTTCATTACAAAACTTGCTTCTAAAATTTCCAAATGCTCGATAATAATCTTATATAAAATAGAACAAAAATGGATTTTGCTGGATTGTAGATATGCAATTAATTATACATGTGATTTAAGTTTTAAATTAATTTTGCATGAACAATAGTATGCAAGAATAATACAATGATGTGTACTAATGCATTAAAAATAAATTCAAAGCGCAAACTAGTAGTGATAGAATCGAAATGTGTTTCTTAACGTTATCATTGAGGTATCTTAAAGTAATATTTAATTTTCTCTAAATCGTGTGCAATAATCTAGCCGTTTAAAAAAAATATCCAGTTGTATGAAATACACCACTAATAGATGGAATTTATGCACGTGTTATATGTTGTTTTTAGAATACATATGTATTATTCTATTTTCATTTGATGTATTTTACGTATTCCATGCATTGCATCTTGTTCTACGGAAATTAGTGTTATTGATCATTAATGAATATACCTTGGTATATTCGATATATCTTGGTTTTTTTTCTGTATTTTCAAAGGATCGCCATATGTAGCCCCATCGGAAATTGTACAAAAAATTATGGAACGCTTGCGGGAACATGATAGTCATGAAGTGGATACGAGTTTATATAATTATAATCAGTACAGTCCATTACATCAAAATGGAAAATTCTCTGTGCTGTCTCCTGATAATAGGCAGTTTTTGGAACAGCCACGTTCCAAAAGCCCTGATATGCACAATAAGCGCATGATCATAGGTAAACGAGAAATCTGATGCAAATAAATTTTAATATTGACATTTAATTTATATTGCTATGTAAAATTGAAACATGATAAAATGTTTTTTTTCTCTTGTAGGGCAAAAATCATTTACTTTCGGATGCGACGGAAATTTAATTGAAATATCTACCGATGGTACAAAACTTACGTGCGATTCGGTAAATGATCATAATAGTTTACTGGATGCCAATGAATCTATAGAATTAAAGCAATCGTCTCCAGAAGAAAGTATGACATTCCAACACCGATATCTTTCAAAGTATGACAAAAGGCTAGCGAAGCAATTGTCGTTTGATAATACTGTCGAATTTTCTGAAACCGACCAATTATCAAAAGATGATCGGGAGACCTCAAATAGCTTAAATATTGCTCAAAGTGACACAAATATAGATGATAGGGAACAAGAATATACAACAAATACAATTTTTAGAAGACATGAATTTTCTGATACTCGAAGGGCTAGCGATGGTTCGTGTGACACTAAACCCCTAAAGAATAAATTATTTTATGAAAGACGATTTAGTGATAGTGCAATGCGTATTGCTGAACGTCAAAGTAAAGAGCATACGTTAATGCAAAAGAGGAAAAGTCTCAAAAGACAGTCTAGAGTATGTGATAAAACCGCAATGTATTGTTGCGATCTAAGTCCTATTAAGTCTAGCATACCAAGTATAGTAATAATAGAACCTAATGTAGATAATGAAGTATCGAGTGGCGTAACTGATAGTGCACAATTAAATATACTGAAATCATTCGAGCCAGCCGAAGATAAAAATGATCTGGAGTTAAAAACGGAGACAGGATTTTCGTTTAGTAAATCTGATTACATACCTTCGCCATCAAATGTTAGTGAATCTATCAACAGATTAGAACGTTTTCAAACCGTACCGGAAGATTCGGCGTCTAGTGATCATTCTTGTACGGAAGATAATCAAGTCTGTTGTTACAAAGGTAAAGTATGTAAAGATTGTAAGCATGGTAAAAACTGTCCGGATTGTTGTTGTTACGCTAACAAACGGAAATATCGGAAAAAGATGCAGAAGATTATGCAAGAGAATAAGAGATTAGAGGATATGCTAGCGAGAAGTAGGAGAGAAGTGGCACAGATTCGTGATATGCTAAGCAGTGTGTTATCAGTCAGGATGGAACCAGGATTTTAAGAGCAATTGCCAATTTTGGTAAAAATAATACTATCATCTTGTGATATGGGGGGGGGGGAGGAGGGTGAATATGATACTTTAGAGAAAATTAATATCTTGTAGAGAATTTTTGACTTTCTATTTAACACTTTAAACTAATCTATTCTTCTATTTCAGAAATCAAATATTTTTGAAGTATACATTTTTTAACAAATGCTATTTCTGAAATGTACGTATCTAAGAACAGTCTTTCAGCATATCTTTTTATCTAAAACTAAAGCCGACAAGTACACTCAATTATTTTTGCATGCTTAATATTAATATAAATCTTTTTATATTTCTGTTTTTGTTTATACTTCTTACATTTTTTTTACACTCAACAAAAAAGTTATAAACATAAAAATCTTATTACATTATGATTTTATTTAAGATTAAGTATTGGCACACGACTAAAAAAAAAAGTGCATTTTTATCATCAGAATACTTCGTTAATACTGACATAGGTGAATTATTAAAATAAATATAAACTTTTATTGTGTGAAATAAAATATCAGTTTATATGGATGATATTTTGAGATTGAGAGAAGAGATACTTTTTGTAATCGTTATACAAGATCACTTGAACGTGAGAACATATGAAATCCATTTATCAAATGTCATTAAAAATTTGCACAGCTAAGCCAAGTAATCGAGCGGATAAAGATGAACTAAATAATATTTATTAGTATATATAAATTCAAATATAAATAATCTTTTTATTTGAAATTTTATATATTATTTGAAATTTGACTGCACAAAATTTACATTTTTATGAATTTTATTTTAAATTTTACATACTCGAGACTTAGTCTTGCGTTATTTCGACTTTTCTGTTTTTAACTCTATCTCATATTCTAATTGTTACATTATTATGTAAATCGCGTACATTCCGCTACCATATCTTCGAATATACTCGTTAAGTTTGAAGTATTAAATTAACTTTTAATTAATGTTATCTTATAACTAAATTTGTTGATTGAATATCTCTAGTTTATAATTGAAAAATAATAAGTAACAGTCATAGCTATGCCTTGTTCACGTTTAACAGAATTTTTCTATATAATTAAGCATTTTTGTATGTATAATATAATGCACAAAAGGAAGATTAATTGCAAGTGGAGAAAACACAGTTAGAACAGTAATGAAAGTTTGATACTTTCGTCACTCTTTTTAATAATTATATATTCACACAGTAAGATTGAAATGCTGGTCATTCCATATTTTATGCAGACAAAAAGAGATCTAGTCTTCTACAATGATAATACTGTCGATACGTGGTGTGGTAAGATGTTCAACTGTTAATTCTTCATCTTTTGTCATTTTCTTACATTCAAAATAATGTGTTCTCAAGGAATTTCTCAGAAAACAACTCATGGTTTTGGGTATCAATTATTGAGAATTAATTTATGCTGCCATATTGGAGTACTTCTTGAATAATAGTATATTTCCACATATCACATTATAGATATAAATAATATACATTCATTTAACTTTAATCTAACGGGATCAGTAGCTATAATATATTTAAAGAAATCTCTACGATTTAATAAACTAAATAAAATGAAGAAATGATCTAAGATTTAAAATCAAATCGAATGACATATACTCGTTCTATTGAGATCAATTAAATGTAAATTATTTGATATTAATAAAAGAGCACTATTACCTACAATATTTGGGGAAGGAAAAAGATGTTAAATATATATTAAATTAATATATATGTATTGTTATGAAATGTATGTATAAGTCTGTTCATTCTTTTTACTTAATACTTAAAATGCTAACATCAATTGAAAGTTTATTTGATATTACTAAATGCGGATTTAATTTTTCCTAAGTTATAACATCACTTAATAAAGAAAAATGCCTTTTATTTTATCGTAATATACAAATAAAACCATAGTTAGTACAGAAATACAAGATTGTGAAAAAAAATATCATACAATATAAATAAAAAAATTTAGAACATTAACATTTACGTAATAGAATTTTCATCGTCCAAATATTTTATATAACAGATTAGTTTATCTGTAACAAATTTTCCGACTTCTTACAATATCGAACGATGAAATCTTGCTAAGATACGCATTACTTACGTAAAGTATACAGAAAGTAATTATACAAATGAATAGAAGCAGTTATTAAGATGTAGTTATTAAGATACAATGTACAATTGTGGAAAAATTTAATAATAAATATATACCGCAATTGAATTTCGTTTTTTTTTTAATACGTATTAGCCATAATTTGCACCTAATGAATTTATCAGTTAAACACACTGCTAAATGTACCGTTTATAACACGTTTCGTAGAAATCAACTGTTCACTATAAACTATCCAAGTATCTTTTTTCTTTTTTCAAATATATTTTTATATATTATAATTTATATTATAATATATATTATATTATATATTATATATTATTATATATACATATATGTATATATAATTGTTATATACAATTATGTAATTTATTAATTGTTATATACAATTATATAATTATTATATACATAATACATAAAATATATAATTATATATACATATATATATATATAT